GGCCGGGCCCCACACGTCCATGTGAAGCGTCTGCAACGGGGCCTCTGTCGGAGGAAACTGGGAGGAGTGAGGGGCAGCCCGCTGGCGCCCCTCGACACAGGGGACACAGGCAGGGCCAGGGCCCTGAGGAAGGGGAGGGAGGGACCGGGGGAGACCAGACACAAGAAGACGGGAGGCCATGCCTCTGAGCCGAAGCAGAGAGGGGTGACCAAGACGGTGGTGCAAGAGGAGAGTCTCATGAGACAAGAGACGACACGAACAGGGGGCAGACTCAGGACCAGACCTAGACGCTGCAGCAAACACCTGACCAGACAAAGCGACTCTACCAGGCTCAGTAACGGGAGGAGACGCAGTGGTCAGTGTGTACAGGCTCGACCCCGGCTGACGGGTAAACGTAGCGAGGTGCCGGCCTGTGCTAGCCTCTGTGCAGTGCGTCACCCGCTGACGCGCAGGAGTGAACTGGTGTACTCCCCCATCCTGTAGGTCAGCACCACTCACCAGGTTTGTCGAGAACGAGGGGAGGTAGAGACCAGACAGGGTGCCAGTAGGAGCCGCCGGACACGGGAGGACTGTGGAGAAGCGAGACAGTACAGGACCCCCGGAGGGGTCAGCCAGAGACACCGCAACCGGCCGACTAAGCGGCGTGAGTGTGGTGCGGTCCCGAAAGAAGGAGCGAGACGCCCCAGAGTCAAGAGTGAAGGTGAGGGAGGCCGAAGCCGACGTAGTACCTTAGAGCGCAGACTCACCAGTACCTGAGGACGCAGACAACACTAGCACCTAGAGCAGCAGCGTCGCAAGCACCTAGGGCAGCAGCCTCAATGCCCGGATCGGGCGGGAAACAGCGGTAGCAGTCACCCTCATCACTATGAGACACAGCATACATGGCAGAGAGAATAGCATCAAAGTCAAGATCAAAGATGGCAACACCCGCCCTAGACAGCTCGCCCCAGCGAGGAATCTCTGAGGCCTCCGGGAACTGGTGACGCCACGCGTCCGTCAGGCGGCCAAAGCAGCGCTGGGTGGGGTGCGGACCCCCACACTGCTCACCCGCACGGTCGCCGGTGCGCAGGACGTAGGTGCACGGACCAAAACCCCCACCCCGCTGGCGTGCAGTGTACCACTCACGGAGCTGCTGAGGGGACAGGGTCTCACGACCGCGCTGCTGCTGCTGGCGCGCGCCACTACCGGAGCCACTCCTCTGCGAAGGCCCGCGACCAGCTCCACCGCCACCCCCACCGCCTCCGCCGCCTCCGCTACTGCCGCCGCCTCCACCGCCGCCTCCACCGCCGCCTCCACCGCCGCCTCCTCCGCCACCTCCGCTCCCACCGCCCACCGCCGCCGCCGCCTTCGCCTCCACCGCCGCCACCGACCCCCCCACCCGCACCTCCACTCCCACCGCACCCCACTACCCCCACCGCCTCCACCTCCACCTCCACCGCCCGCTCCTCCAGCTCCCTTGCCCCCCTTGCCCTTGCCAGGGCGGCGTCTCCCGCTACGGGCAGACGCCGCACTGACCGACTCAAGACCAAGGAGGTCGGCCGTAGCAGCAGAGGCAACAAAGAGCAGCAGGGGGGAGGGGGAACACCCCTCAAAGATGGGGGTGCGCGGGTCACCTCGAGAGGCTCGTACAGCGACTATACTCTTCTCCGCTGCTAAGAGGGCCTTCTCGAGGAGATCGACAGTGAGTGTGGTGGGACAGACTGAGAGAAAGTGGTCCCTGACTACTCGAAGGGAGTCAGTAAGGCGAGTGACTAGGAAGTACAGAGTGATGTACATGGGGGGGGGGGTTCTTGGCGCAGAAGTCAGCAGGGAGAGCAGCGCGGTAGCGAGTGTCACTGCAGTGCGGAGGTGCGTTATGAGGTCAGCCACGGTGGGAAAGGCAGCAAGGTCAGGGAAGAGGTACGGTAGCATGAGACGGCTCAGTGCAGCAGTGGCAGGGGAGGAGTAGCGCGCGACTACAGCGTCGTACAAGGTCTGAGCACTCTTGTACTGACTAAAGTGCGCACGCTCGGAGGTAGGGAGGTGGCGACGCACAGCAAGACGTGTAGCAGCGTCGCGCGTGGCCCACTGGGAGCGAACAGTGGCGTCAGCATCAGCAGCAGGGGCAGGGGAAGCGCCAGAGGTAAGGTCAAAGAGAGAGAGGCCGTCTGCCCTATCGCACTGTAAGAACAGCTGCAGGTCGTCTACCCAGACCTCAAAGTCAATGGCCCGACCCTCAGCGTCAAAAGCGAGGACACTAGGGGTAGCCATGACGACAGTAGCCTAGCAGTACTACCTGTAGGACAGGGGCAGTGCAGTGACAGGAGGGCTGCTCTCACCAGACAGGGCGGGTCGGGCAGCTCAGCAGCACAGCAACGCGGCTGCCTCGGACAGCTCAGCAGCAACTGCGGTTCGGGCGGCTCAGGCGGCTCGGCTCCACAGCGGCTCAGGCGGCTCGGGCGGCTCGGGCGGGTCGGGCGGCTCGGCTCCTCAGACGGCTCAGGGGGCTCGGGCGACTCGGGCGGCTCGGGCGGCTCGGGCGGGTCGTGCGGCTCGGCTCCTCAGCAGCTCAGGCGGCTCGGGCGGCTCGGGCAGGTCGGGCAGCTCGGGCGGCTCGGGCGGGTCGGGCAGCTCGGGTGGGCGCGGGCGGTGTAGGGCCGTAGGGCCGTTGGTAGGGCTCGGGGGCCGCAGCGAGAAGGGGCGGCGGGGGCCGCAGAGACGGGCGGCGGGGCCGCAGCAGTGAGAGGCGGCGGGGCCGCAGCTAGAGAGGCGGCGGGGCCGCAGAGACGGGCGGCGGGGCCGAAGTGAGAGGCGGCGGGGCCGCGAAGACGGGCGGCGGGGCCGCTGAGACGGGCGGCGGGCCGCATTGAGAGGCGGCGGGGCCACAGAGAGAGAGGCGGCGGGGCCGCGACGACGGGCGGCGGGGCGCTGAGAACGGGCGGCGGGGCCGCAGGGAGAGGCGGCGGGGCCGCAGCTAGAGAGGCGGCGGGGCCGCGGAGGACGGACGGCGGGGCCGCAGAGACGGGCGGCGGGGCCAAAAGTGAGAGGCGGCGGGGCCGCAGCGAGAGAGGCGGCGGGGCCGCGAAGACGGGCGGCGGGGCCGCTGAGACGGGCGGCGGGGGCCGCAGTGAGAGGCGGCGGGGCCGCAGCGAGATAGGCGGCGGGGCCGCGAAGACGGGCGGCGGGGCCGCTGAGACGGGGCGGCGGGGCCGCAGGGAGTGGCGGCGGGGCCGCAGCTAGAGAGGCGGCGGGGCCGCAGAAAAGGGCGGCGAGGCCGCTGAGACAGGCGGCGGGGCCGTAGTGAAGGGCCGCTAGGGCGGCTCGACGAAGTGAGGGCCCGGAGCACGACTCGGGCTGAGCGCGCTTCGGGCAGGAAAAAAACTCGATGTGGTGGGCCCTAAGCACAGTTCCCAAGGGGGAACCTGCTCGATACCATGAGAAGATTAGAACGAGAATGGGTGAACTATGAAACGAAGTGAGTACAAATATGAAACCCTAATTGGTTGTACCCCCTATGGGATACCCCACTATAGCCTACACAACAGCATAAGCTATAATGTTCTGACAAATCCTACAGGCAGTTACATATAGAAAAAAATAAATTATATTTTCCGACACTTCTCGTGGTTTTCAAGCCTTTGAAAAAATCAGGGGAGATTTAGAGGCCAAGAAAAATCCTTTAGAAATTATTCAGGTACCTGAGAAGTTGAGCAAAGTACTACGGAGCGTAGAAAAGGGTCGTGCGTTCCGTGGAGTTAATATTCTCTCCCCGCAGCACATTGTTAAGGCTCCCCGTTGCCCACAGGTGAAGCCTACACAGCTGCCAAGGCTTTGAGGAGAATTCCAGGCTCCTGAGAATTGGTACAAGCCTCGGAAAAATCCTCCTACCCCCCAGGTGAAGTTCGAAGAGAAAAGTGCTGAGTCGGGTATAGGAAATAGGGGTGGTATTCAGTTTGATGTACCCTATGATCCTATCAATGAGACCCTCTTTGGCTACTCAGCGCAGCAGGCACCACTACTCCTCGAGGTGTTATGCAAAGGACGACGCCTCCAGGCACCGGTGGACAGCGGTGCATCTCACTTGGTGTGTGACCGCGGGACATTGGAGAAAATTGGGGAACCTTCCGAGGAGACCAAGTTCTCGGCAACGATGGTGGACGGCACGAAACTTCCCATCCACGGCGAAGCATCACTGCAGCTGCACATAGGGGCGCTAATGTGGAAGCCGACGTTGCCGGTCACGAACATCAAAGGGTTAGATTTCATCTTGGGGCGAGATTTCTTGAAGCGGTTCAACCCCGAGATCGACTGGGTCAACAGGAAGGTGTGCATCTACAACAACGGGAAGCGGATAGCACTACGAAGCTGGACAGATACAGGGGATGTTCCTGAAACGACACTAGCACGGTTTGAACAGACGGTGAACGAGAATAAAACGGATACCTAGCACTGGTTATGGCAGCAGCACAGGAGGAGAAGCCGAACGCAGAACTACCTGCAGCAGTGAAGGAGGTCTTAGAGAAATACAAGGAGATAATGCCCGACGACCTACCTGCAGGTGTACCCCCTGCACGCACCCACGAGCACAAGATCGTGGAGGAACCAGGTGCGAAACCCGTCTCACGTGCACCATACCGACTAAGTCCGACCGAACTAACAGACATGAAGAAACAGATCGAATATCTACTGGACAGACAACTGATCCGCCCGTCCACCTCTCCCTACGGTCCACCAGTCCTCTTCACTCCAAAACCAGACGGCAGTCTACGGATGTGCATCGACTACCGCGCACTGAACAAACAGACAGTTAAAAACAAATATCCAATACCGCGCATAGACGACCTACTAGGCCAAATACGTGATGCAACAGTCTTTTCGAAGCTGGACCTACGGTCGGGTTACTGGCAGATCAAGATGGCGGACAACTCGATCCACAAGACGGCATTCCGTACCAGATACGGCTCCTACGAATACTTGGTGATACCGTTCGGACTCTGCAACGCACCAGTGACGTTCCAGGCGGAAATGAACCATATCCTACGGCCCCTGCTGGACGAGAAGTGGAAAGTACCAGAGAACGTGAAGGAGTTGCAGCAGTTCCTAGGCTTTGCCAACTACTACAACAGGTTCGTGCCACAGTACGCTAAGATTGCAGCGCCACTGACCGACTTACTGAAAAAGGATACGCCCTTCAAATGGGATACACCTCATCAGCAAGCCATGGAACAGCTACAGACAGCACTGACCACAGCCCCAGTACTCATCCTACTGGACCCCGAGAAAGACTATGTCATTGAAGCAGACGCTAGTGACCAGGCAGTCGGAGCAGTACTGATGCAAGATCACGGGAACGGTTTACAGCCTATCGCCTACCTCAGTAAGACGCTACACGAAGTAGAACTGAACTACCCCATCCATGACAAGGAAGCCTTAGCGATAGTCATAGCCTTCAAGGCGTGGAGGTGTTACCTAGAAGGAGCCAAGACCACAGTCTATACTGACCACTGCAGTCTCAAATACCTGAAGTCACAGCCAACGCTCTCGAGGCGACAGGTGGGGTAGATGGAGTTCCTAGAAACTCACTTCCACTACAACATCGTCTACAAGCCCGGGCTACACAACAAGGCAGACGCATTGAGCCGCCCCGGACATGTAGCAGGCATCCAGCTCGACGGGATGAACCCTCTGCTCAAGGGTCTATTCCAACATGGGAACTCCGTGGACGCAGAGATCACTACAGCACAGACCAAGAAGCTGTTACAGTGGGAGAAAGACTTAGCTATAAGAAAGTGTGAGAATCGAAATGAGAATGGATCAACTATGAAATGAGAGAGTACAAGTACTAACCTTAATTGGGTTGTACCCCCTATGGGATACCCCACTATAGCCTACACAAATGTAGAAGCTATATAGCATTCTGACACACCCCCATAGGCAAAGTGGGGGAGAACAAGGGGTCACAAGACCAGTCAAGTAAAGCAAAGCAAAGCAAGCTCAGGGTGGATCACAAAGTCACCACACAGTCCGAGCACAGGGTCAAGGCCACACGGCCAGTTCACATGCAAGAGTACACACATATATATAAAGCTAGACAAGCAAGAGCAGGTATATATATACATATATATATATATATATATGTGAGAGTACAAGCAAGGTCAAGAGGAGAGCAAGTGAGGCAAGACGGGCACAAGACCCAGCTGAGTGCAGAAGCGCTGATGATCACAAGGCGGAAGTGCCTTGGTGAAGACATCAGCAGTGTTGGCCTCAGAGGCCACGTACGCAAGCCGCAACTGTCCACGCTGCTGTAGCTCACGAGCAAGGAAGTAGCGGAGAGCAATGTGCTTTGTTCTGTGCTCCAGTCGCTGCTCTCGACACAAGGCCAGCATGGCCTTGTTGTCTACGTACAGGACTGGAGGAGAACGAGGCGGCTCTCCAAGGTCGGTCAGCAGGTAGGTGAGCCAGCGAAGCTCCTGTGCAGCCATAGCCCCGGCGTAGATCTCAGCCTCACAACTGGAGCCAAGAACAGAAGACGAGCGAGTAGCCCGCCACGAAACAGAGCCGGAACCAAGGCTGAAGGTGTAACCCTGTGACGACCGCTGCGTAGCCTGGTCGTCAGCCCAAGAAGCGTCCGCGTGCCCAGTGAGGACCACTGGACTCCGCCCTCCATGCACTAGCCCCATGCCCGATGTACTGCACAGGTAGCGCAACACCCTCTTCGCTGCAGCCATGTGCTCTGGTCGGTGTCTCCCAGGAGCAACATAGCGTGCGAGAATGCTAAGAGGGTATGCAAGGTCAGGTTGTGTGCAGGTCATCAGGTACATGAGGCAGCCAACAAGCTCTGGGTACGGGCCACTCGACTCTACGGACTCATCCGAAGGCAGAGCTGAGAGCGAGTGGCGAGTAGACAGAGGAGTGGCCTGAGGCGAGGAGTACGTGAAGCCAAGCGCTAAAGGACCTGCTGCACCATGTGTGACTGAGTCAGGGTAATGGTGCGGCGTGCTCTGTCCCGGGTGATCTGCAAGCCAAGGTAGCTGCGCAGTTCACCTAGGTCTGTGCACGTGTGTCTCTTCTGCAGCTCGGACTTCACGTAGGCGAGTCCAGCAGTGTCAGCTGTGGCAAAGACCAAGTCGTCGACGTACACGAGGATGTAGAACGGCGGCAGAGAGGTGTCGGTGCGCAGAAACAGCAACGGGTCGGCAGTAGAAGGAGCAAACCTAAGAGCCGCAAGCGTAGTCCTCAGTGTGTCGTGCCACTCACGTGGCGCCTGGCGG